CCAAACAGCAGGAGATTAGGCTGTTGCAAAAAGAATTCCCATTAACCCACCACCACCACCAAAAAAAGGGCAACTAGGTCTGAAGCCAAACCTAGACTAAGGATGTTGCCTCTCTACCCAAGCCTGCTGTTTTAGGTGGCCTCAAGGTAATGTCATTAAAATGAGAAAACAAAGAAATCACCACTATGCAATACATCTACCTAACAAAACTGCACTTGTACCCTCAATCTATAAAAAGAAAAAGAAAAATAGGAAGATAAAAAAGAAATAAAGCAGCTTAATAACGATCTCTGGAAAAGAACTTATGGTATAGTTACTAGCATGGACTGGAAGCTTTTTGTTTTTTCCTCTTTTTGAGAGGAAATCTACCAAATTTGGAAAGAAATAGTTTTTACCAAAGTAAACATAATTCTAGCCAAAAAAAGCCTTTAAAAAATAAAAGGTCTCAGCCAATTGTGGTGGATCACACCTGTAATCTCAGCACGTAGGAGGCTAAGACAGGATGATCACTTGAGGCTAGGAGTTTGAAAGCAGCCTGGGTAACATAGGGAGCCCCATCTCTACAAAAAAAAATTTTTTTTTAACTAGCCAAGTGTGGTCGAGGAGTTCGAGGCTGCAGTGAGCTACAATGGTGCCCCTGCACTCTACTCTGCCTGACAGAGAAGGATCTTGTCACTTGGGGGGAAAAAAAAAAAAAGAAAAGAAAGGAGAGCATAATAGATTCCAACATACCACTTCAATGTGTTATGCAGATAATGGACAAGGAAGAAGTTCTCAAAGGCACTGCCAGGGCAAGGACCCTTTGCAATCCCTGCCTAACAGGATTCACTCTAGTTCACTGAATACTATACATTCTCAAACTCTCCTTTTTTGAATAGGAGCCTTTATTTCACTTGTCCTAGGCTTGCTCCTCCACTGTTTATTAGTGGTAGACAAGGAAGATAACTTGAAATTCAGTTTCTAGGTGGCTGAGTATGAGGAGTCAAAGCTAGACCTGATGAAGAAAACTATATATACAGTAGAGATTCTCCACTTTTGAACTAAATGATGGGACTCTGGTTGTTTTACTTGGAGAGTGAGTGAGTACACCGTACGTGTGGGAAGAAGGGAGCAGGCGGGCATTTGCATGGCCAGAGGCAAACCGTGGGAGAAACTGCTAGTGAGTTCTCCTAGACTTCCATGGTGAAAACATTGCTGCCAGGCACCTCGTTGCCCAGCTGGACCCTACTTCCCAGCCTTCCTCCCAATTCCAACAGGACTAATTTCTCAGCAATGCCATGTGAGCAGAAACAATGGATGTCACTTCCAGATTTGAGACTTCAGACCTTCACATTCTTTTCCCCTTCCATGCCAGCTGGAACCCATATGTGATGACAACCCTGTTTCAACCACACAGCCAGTGACGGTGTTCTAGGAGATGGCAGAAAAACAAACCTGGGAGGAACTATGGCCCCTAAATGACCTCAAGGAAAAAAGCTGCCCAATCAAGCTGGGCTGTTAACACGGAGTCTATTCCAAAAGAGGAAAAATACACTTCTTCATCCTAAAGCCATTTAAGTGTTAAGGCCTTTTGTTACAAGGGTCTGACCATCACCCATTTATGGCTGATGTCAGAAATTCACCTCTTTTCACACTCCAGATCTATGAGGAAATCTTGGGGAAAATGTTGCAATGAATGTGCCTACATTTGCACTAAAAAACAAACAAATAAAAATTAGTTAAAACAAAACCTTGAGGAGATGCAGCATAATAAAAATATAAATTTAGCTGTAGCCTTTATAATAAACCAGTAAATGTGTTTTCCTGAGTTCTGAGTCATGTCAGTGAATTATACCACCTATGGAGAGTGTTATGAAAACCCTTAATTTATAGATGGTCAATCAGAAGTACAGGTGGTTGCTGGGACTTGCAACTGATGTCTGAAGCAGAAATAGGCTTGTGGAACTGAGCTCTTAACCTGTGGGGTCTGAACTAACTGGTTAGTTTCCAAGTTGAACTGAATTCTTAGGCATCCAGTTGGTGTTAGAGAATTGGAGAATTGGTGTGGAAGACCCCACACATTTGGGGTCAGAAGTGGTAGCAGAAAAAAAGGCACCCCTGAAGCTTAAGCCTACATAGGGTGTGAAATAATCAGGGCTGATCCTGACACTACTTTACATAAACATTTCAGCTTTGCCTCTGTACCTGCTTAACTCCTACAGGATGAGCAAAGGAGACATTGACCTCAGACACCTCTGTACTGCCCATAGTGGCAAAAACCTCCAGGCTGCTACTATTCCAACCTAAGAAGATGTTAAACTGAACCTTTTCAGCCTCAGAAGTGTGGTTGAAAACAATAAATGTAAGTTACTGCACATTCTACATAGAGATAACAGACTATCCTATAAAATTTGCTAACAGACCCCAAATCAGTACTGTTACTCATGATTAGGCTCTATAAGAGAAGATGTAGATTGATCAGGTACCCAGAGAGAGTTGCCAGAGGGTTATGCTTTTCCTTCTTCTTCCCTATGTGGACAAGAATCCTCCCTTCCCTCCCTCTCCCACCTACTGGAAGTCACATGAGTAGGAATTTCAGGATGCTGAGATACCGCCTTAGGTTTCTGAGCCTGAATCTGGTCCAAGCTGGGAACAGCAGAGATATGTTAAAGCGAATGAGAAATTAAAGCTTTGATTTAGATTGGACTGGACTGGACTTTTTAAGAGCTGAAAATGAGACCTTTTGTTTTTTCAGTGACCAGAAAAGCCAGGGACTCTTCCTGAGTTATTTTTCAACAAAAAAGGAAGATATTCAACATAGCATGTCTAAAAAGCAATTAAAAAAAAATCAAGTAGCTTCATCTGCTTGTACCTACCAAGTTTAGCACATTCAATATGTGTGCGGGGGAACCAGGTTTGGGTGGCAATGCCTGCCTGCCTGCCTATCACACTTCTACCAATAACCAAGAATCACACGGAATGGCTGCCATAGCACCCGCTTTCAACAGCAATATCATGTGGCAGCAACAGCAATAACAAAACTTCAGATACTTTCCAGTTTTTCTCTCTTCAAAGACAGAGCAATTAGGACCAAGCTCTTAGGCTGACTGAGCACCATAAGTTCTAAATTTATGATGGGAGAAGAAACCTAAGAAAGGGACACAGACATGCTAGTGTAATAGGTGATCCAAGATGGTTAATGGAAACACTAAGAAAAATGTTTTGTAAAGCTACCACTGCCTTTAACTGCCCAATTCCAGGCTTCTTTAGTGTGATACATAAACTGACATCTTATTTTACCTAATACTGTATAATACAATATACGTAATAAGTTAAATGCTCCTTGAAAGAAACAAAAAGATAAACGAGTCTGTAGAAAAATGGGATAAGGAGAACATGCAATTTGCATAAAGAAGAAATACAAATGGCCAATGATTGTATGAAAATATACTTAATTAACCTTAATAGTAACCCAAGAAATGCAAATTTAAAAAACAAAATACCACTTATCACATTGGCAAAAATGTTAAATATGAATTATATCTGGTTGGAAAGGGTCTGTAGAAAAAGATCCTCTCATTCAACACTGAAATAACTTAGAAAGTCATTATGAAAATTTAGAATGATTCTGTATATGATGAGCATGTGCACGTGTGTGCATACATGTATGTATGTGTGTGTGTAAGTATAGAAAAAGGTCTAGAAGAATATATAACAAGCTTAACAGTACTTCTATTTCTCAGGAGAGCAGGAACAGTGGAATGGAAGCGTGTTGATAGACTTTCACATTTTACAGAGAGACTTAAAATTTGTATAAGCATATATTAATTCTGCAATTTTAAAAAATGTTTTTTGAAGCAGGGTGTTGCTGTGTCACCCAGGCTGGAGTGCAATGGTACCATCTTGGCTCACTGAAGCTTGGACATCCTGGGCTCAAGCGATTCTACCAGTCTCTTTTAGCCTCCTGAGTAGCTGAGGCTACTCAGATGTGCACCACCATGCCTGGTTAATTTTTTGTGTTTTTTTGTAGAGACGGGGTTTTGCCATGTTGCCCAGGTTGGTCTAGAACACCTGGGCTCAAGCCATCCACCCGCCTTGGCCTCCCAAAGTGTTGGGATTACAGACATGAGTCACTGTGTCCAGCCTTAATTTTTTTTTTTTTTTTTTTGGAGACGGAGTCTAGCTCTGTTGCCCAGGCTGGAGTGCAGTGGCATAATCTCAGTTCACTGCAACCTCTGCCTCCTGGATTCAACTGATTCTACTGGCTCAGCCTCCTGAGTAGCTGGGATTACAGGCATTGCCACCAAGTCCAGCTAATTTTTTGTATTTTAGTAGAGATAGGGTTTCACTGTGTTGCCCAGGCTGGTCTCAAACTCCTGACTTTGTGATCTGCCAGATTTAGCCTCCCAAAGTGCTGCGATTATAGGCTTGAGTCACTGCACCTGGCCAACCTTAAATTTTTTAATGAAAAATCAATAACTTAAGCTTTCTAAAGCTTAAATAGATATATAAAATATTTAAATTTATTTATTTCCCTTTAGATGCGTTAGGGGTTGAGCAGGCACAGCCTACCCAAATTTTGGCAACTGAACCCCGTCTTAAACTATGTAGGTGGTTCAGTATTTCACAACCCAAAGGAAGTTTCCTCAGTTGGCATGAATATAACTATAGGGTAATGCTTTACATCCCTGGACAGTACTGAATAAGGCTTATTTTTAGTAATTCAAGATAAAAGAAACAATTGTATGAAAAGTATTTTGAAATAAATTTTAGAGAGATTTACATTTTTCAGTAAAAAGAATTCTGTCATTAGTTATCATTCTTTTTGGCAGAGACCGTCTTCAATTTTTAAGTGTTTGCCAAAGAAATGACCTTCTGCCAACCCAGACTGATGTATTTGCCTGTTTTCAGACCAGAATTCATTCAAAAGCACCACAAGTCTTCCAAGAAGTCTTTTTGTTTTTATTCCCAGAATTTTAAGCAAAAAGTAGTTTATTTAAAATATAAGGAGATATTCTTACTTGGTCCTCAAAAGATAGAGCCTGGGCAACATCTCTTGGAAATCCATCAATAACAATGCCCTCTTCATCAGGTATTTGCATCAATTTTTGTTTTATCTCTGTAATTGTTGTTTCCTTTTATAAAGAGAAAGGATGAAAAAAGAACACACAGTTAAACTTAGTATACTCAATTGGTATGAAAACATTTTGCAGAATAGAGGAAAATTACACAGCAGTACCTGTGGGGCCAATTCTCCAGTTGTAATTATCTTGGCAATAAGACTCCATTTCCTATTGCTGCTGGTACTGTGGATCTTCTTTCTTAATAATTCTCCCACAGAAATGTATTGGAATCCATATCGTTCTGCAATTTTCAAACTCTGAGTACCTTTTCCACTTCCTGGACCACCTAGTATTTAAAACAGGCAAAACTGTGACCTTCTGCTACAATAAGGAACTCCCTTTTATACAACTACTATTTTCATCTGGGATACAGATTCCCTGTCACCAAGGCAGGGTGGTTAACGGTTCCATTTGTGGCATTCTCAGTGCTGCCTTTGAATGTAAAGCAAGTAGAGACTTTGTCGAGGAAAGAACTGTCTTGACCAACTATATTAAATGAGAGAGACAAATTTTTCTCTACCTATTTGAGCAAATAGCTAATTTTTAAAAAAAGTTTTTGAACAGTGTAATTGAAAGAAATCTTGACTACTTTTTACAAAAAAATCTAACATTTTTCCCCTCTGTACTCAAGAAAAATCTGAGGAATATAAAAGACAATGGTCAAAATAACAATAATAGATTCCATGCCAAGAAAGAGTTAATGCGTAATTTGGTGAAATGTAACCACTATTTTTAGACAAAGGCCCACCAGTATTTACACAGTTTATTTAAATCTTTTCAGAAATCTGCTTGCTATGCATGTCCTTGACTTATATCCTTTGATTTCAAAAGTTTTATGCATGTAAAAACAGACATATAGACCAATGGAATAGAACAGAGAACCTAGAAACAAATCCCCACACCTACAGTGAACTCATTTCCCACAAAGATGCCAAGAACACACACTTAGTAAAAGGCAGTCTCTTCAATAAATGATGCTGTAAAAACTAGATATCCATATACAGAGGAAAGAAACTAGATCTCTATCTCTTGTTGTATATAAAAATAAAATCAAAATGGATTAAAGACTTCTACCAGATTATTTTGCAAATCAAAAGTAAGTTTTGGTTGTAAATAGCTGCTTTTAACTAACTAATATATGGGCAAATCACGGATTGGCTTGAAATTAAAAAAAATTCTCTGACCAAATCCAAGTTCAAACGAATTTACTCCTTGAAGAATCAGGTATCTTTCAGAAACTATTTCTACACTTAATCAGAACCACCAAACTAAGAGATTATACATTCCATTAATTTAAAAAATTCAAACACACTGAGAATGTTATGATACTTAAAAAAATTTTTTTTGTCAACTAATAGAGGCAACAGTAGACAACAAAAAATATGATTGGCACAATTGACAGAGATATTCTCTGTCATTAACCTTTTTTTTTTGAGATGGAGTTTTGCTCTTGTTACCCAGGCTGGAGTACAATGGCGTGGTCTCGGCTCACCACAACCTCCGCCTCCTAGGTTCAGGCAATTCTCCTGCCTCAGCCTTCTGAGTAGCTGGGATTACAGGCACGCGCCACCATGCCCAGCTAATTTTTTGTAGAGATGGAGTTTCACCATGTTGATCAGGATGGTCTCGCTCTGTTGACCTCGTGATCCACCCACCTCAGCCTCCCAAAGTTCTGGGATTACAGGCTTGAGCCACCGCGCCCGGCCTCTCTGTCATTAACTTACTGGATAAATTTAATTACTGAAAGTTTCTATTTATTTTACTTTTCTCTAAGGCCAGAATGGGCTTATTTTTTTCTGTTCACTTATCTCTAATACTTATAAATATTAGGGTCCATCTCACTGATATCTTATGATTATGTTAACATAACAGAGATTCATGTGTTCTAAGACAACCAGCTTTAAAAAAATTCTGCAGCACTGGAAGAGAAACCATGTGGGCATCTATACCTCCACTCACTTTTTTGGTTTGGGACTAATACAAATTTATAAGGTTCAGGTACAATTATTTTGTCATTCCATAAAAGTTATAAAATTGCCCAATTATCTCAGAACCTGAAATCTACCCTCTCCTTTCTTCCCTTGTTTCAATCATCTTAAAATGATTTACACTTATTGGTTCTTCATCATTTTTGTGATATATAAAATGTTACAATACAATGTGTAAGTCTATAACCCAAGATCACAACCTTGGGAAACAAGTTGATTTCACTAAATGAAAGGAAATGTGAAGTGGGGGAGACTTGAGCATTAATATTTTCTCTAAAGATCTTAGTTTTTGACATACTTTAATCATTTTCATATAAAATTCATAATGCACAGAAAAAATATCTGTGCTCTTTCATAGATCAATTTGATATCAAACCATTTTAATGAACAATCAAGCTTCCATTTGTTCATCCTGTTAATAATGACCAATACTTTACTATTAGCAGCATGAACAACAAAATAGAAAGAATGTGTTGTGTCCACATAAAAATCATAAAATGATGAGAGAATTCCCAATTATTTTTCACCTGTTCTTCCTTTATTTATTAAAGTGTTTCCTTGTCTTCTAAGGAAGGACTTGAAATTTTTAAGCATTCCGCTTTCAAAAATAGATTTATGGCATTAACAGTGTCTACCATAAAGCCCTAAGGCAACCAGGCACAGTGGCTCACACCTATAATCCTAGCACTTTGGGAAGCCAAGGTGGGAGGATTGCTTGAGCTCAGGAGTTCGAGACCAGTCTGGGCAACACAGTGGAAACCCATCTCTACTAAAATACAAAAAATTAGGTGGACATGGCAGTGTGTGCCTGTAGTCCCAGCTATTCAGGAGGCTGAGGCAGGAGAATTGCTTGAAACCAGGAGGAGGAGGTTGCAGTCAGACGAGATCACACCACTGCACTCTAGCCTGGGACAAAGCAGGATCTTCAGTCTCAAAAAAAAAAAAAAAGCCATAAGAATAATATTTTAACTCTTCAAAAGCTGACTTTAAACTCTCTTCCTATAATTTTTTTTATAAAATATATCTGGTTTGTTAACAATTCAGGGTGATTTATTTGCAATTTCATTTTCATTTCACTTTAAAATGTGCAAATGTCATTCCTTCCTTCTACTCTGGTGAGCTTAAATTCTTGTTATAGCGTGGTGTGTTTATTTGCATGCTTTTTTCCTAGTTGCCAACATTGCTGTGTCCTCGGGAGCACTACTTCCCGGCATGGGGTCTCTATACATTTGGCACTCTATTAATGCAACCAGCTAGAATAGCTTTGAACATTTCATCCCAGAGTTTTGCTTTTGCTTGTCTCTGTGAAAGGTGATTCTAACTGAAAAGTGAAACAATTACTATGTGTTGCATATTCACAGGTCTCTTCATGATTTTTATAGATTTTGAGAAAGAATTTGCAAAAGTAGCCACAATTCTTTTTCTCTTTTTTTTTCCGAGAATAGGTATCTCTGTCACCCAGACTGGAGTGCAGTGGAATTTACTGCAACCTTGAACACCTGGGCTGAAGCTATCTTCCCACCTCAGCCTCCCAAGTAGTTGGGACTACAGGTGTGTGCCACCATGCCCAGCTAAGTTTTTAAATTTTTTGTAGAGACAGGATCTCACTATGTTGCCCAGGCTGGTCTGAATCTCCTGGGCTCAGTGATCCTCCCAGCTTGACCAAAAAGGAATTTTTCAAAAATATTTAAAACATTTTCATTTTCCATTCCTTGTGAAATGTCATGGACTGATATTTCCATATTCAACATAAGATTCACAGTGGAAATTTTTTAAATGAACTATTATCATTGTTATTTTGTTTAATACTCAGATATTATGTGCTATGCAAAACACTATTTGATTAGATTTGCTTATCTTTTAACAGTGAAACTGGATTTATTGTAGATGTCAATTTTCCATAAAGAAGATTCATTTATATGAATCTTTGCCAATCTATTATTTATTTTTCCCTCTAAAGTTAATGGTGAGTAAAAATTTAACTTGTTGAGTTAAAGGGGAAAAATTACATTATGTTTAGAAAACTTTCTTTTTTCCTTCTAGAAACAGAGTCTCACTATGTTGCCCAAGTTGGACTCCGGGGATCAAGGGATCCTTCTGGCTCAGCCTCCCTACTAGCTGGGACTGCCACCACATCCAGCTCTTAGAAAACTTCAATTGGCTCAGTTACCTATGATAAAGATTAACTAAATAAAACCACAGGACAATAGATCTTGAAGATAGTACTTTCAATTCATTATACAGAATTTCTATGACATTTTAATGGGAATCTATGAAAATGCAATAGGCATTAGATTATATAATTATAACAATTTCTATTTTATTGAAACTTATCCTAAGAATATTTCCATTTATTTTCCCTTGAGCTTTTGTTTCTAATGCTTGTCATTATCCAACTATTTGTACATATAATAAATGATTTACTTTTTTGAAATGTAAATATTTAAACAGAGATAGCAACAATATGAGAATTTTGCTTTCTGTTCTCATACCTATAACGAGAATGATTTTTGGTCGTGGTCTAGTAGGATCAAAAACCTCATACTCCTCAATCAACTCTGCAGTCTCAGAGAGATCCGTGTCACTTTCTATAGAGAATTGATGGATTGGAGGGAGCCGATCATACCGCCGATACGGAAAGTTTGCATTTTCAGGCATTACTGCAAAAGAGTAAGATAACTTTGAAAAGGAAAAAACACCATAATAAAACACTCTTCACACTTAATTAGTAAAAGCAATTTTAAAATTAAGTGGGTTTTTTTTCTCTTAACTGGAAGAAGACTCCCTAAGTGGTCAGCAGGTTTTATTGTAAAGGGTCAGATAGTCAGTATTTTGAGCTTTGAGAGCCATGCAGTTTCTATTCAACGTGGCCATGGTGGTATGAAAGCAGTCATAAACAACATAATAAACAAATGAGTGTGCCTGTGTTTCAATAAAACTTTATTTATAAAAACAGGCAATGAGATGAACTTGGTTCATGAAACTTTGCCACCCTCTGCCCTACAGTAACCTTCTCAGATACTGCCTAGTCTTGTAGGGTATACATCTTGGCCTCTGCAAATGGTGCTCTCTGGAGTTACGTAGTACATAACCGTCACAAGCTTATGTAGCTGCCTGTCCATTATACTAATGCTTATATATCATGACTTTCATTCATTCAGCAAATATAGATAAGCTACTTACTATGACCCCGGAATGCTATTGGGGTCCAACAGAATGGCTTGGTGGCATAATGCATAAAAAAATAAGGTACTGTCATAAGTCAGGTAAAAGGGTGCAAATAATTCCTACAATTGGAATATCTTTTAACATCATCTAATTTTACTTTATCAATATACTTATTATTTTTAATCCACTTGATTTAAAGATGTAAAAGCAAAAGTTTAAGTTTGTATCTACAATGGCAATAAATATTTGCTATTTATTGCCATTTATAACACACCAGACCTGTTACTGTGTTAAGAATGATTTGGTGGAAGAATAAGATGTAGTCCTGTTCCTTCAGTGCTTATAAAGTACAGCTTATGTGTTTATATCTGATAGCTGCATGAACACCAGCCAGATAAGTGTTGAAATGAATATCTGTCTGATAAATACCACAGTCATTCAATGAATTACATTTGCAGTGCAGTGGTAAGAAAGGATTTGCAAAGGAGACAGGACCCGAACTTTCAAAGACAAGCACAGGTGATGAAATGTAGGAAGTATAACCCAGTTGGTGGGAACAGTACAAAAACTCTAAGTTAGAAACTCAAATGACATACTCAAAAGGACCAGAGGACAGGGGTGGCAAGTCCAAGGGAGATAGTCTCAACTAGTTGTTTATATATAGTTTACGGCTCCCTCTTCTTCACCTCAGGTGTCAGTATTCCAGGAGGCACAGAGAAGCACCAACTACCCAAACAGCACTTGCACAAAGCAAACAGGAGGACGTCTGCCCTTCCATGAGGAATTCTGCTAAGGGGACTACCGTATCTCAGCATGGCATAAGGCTCGCATCTCCTCCCAGGGGTGTTTCCATTTTCTGATGATACAATAAATAAGGGAAATAAGGGCACCGACCACAGACCCACTAGACTCATTTTGGTTTCATAAAATGAAGTAGTCTGGAGTAGTCTGCAGATGACAGTAGATATCCTTTTGAAAGAGCTGGGAAGGGCTACAGCAGGAAAAACACCAACAACAGTATCCCCCTCTGCCTTGAAGTTTAATTATTTCATCTAACGTAAGACAAAACTCAAAACATTATCTTGATTAGTTTCTTCCCTCTTTCTGCACATCTACTCTGAAGACTTTATTTGCTAAACATATGCCATATGCATATGCTTCTCTCCATTTCTACTATCACAACTCTTCCAAGCCATCATCATAGTTTACCAGGAATATCACGGTAGACTACTTACTGATCTACCTGCTTCCATGCTTGCCCCCACAATCAACTGCCTGAATTGTTCTTCCCCTGTTGCTCCCATGGCTGACTGCTTCTTGTCATTGACACTTTACCTTTAATGTCACCTCCTGCAAGAGGACTTTACTGACTTTCTAATCTAGTGCAGCCTCCTAGTGAATCTCAAGGACATCACTTCTATGCTCTGCACAGCACCTACCACTTTACCATCTGAGAGTTTTTTCATGTATCCATTCATTCATTGTGTGTCTTCTCCTATTAGATTAGAAGTGTCATGAGAGCAGGGGCCTTACCTATTGCCCGGAGCTCTGTATCCCTGGGATCTAGAACTGCGCTTGGCAGATGGTCAATGTCCAATAGATATTTCTTGAATTAATAATAAAGAGAACGTCTTACTGAAATAGTTTCCCACAGAGAAAACCCAGAAGATAAAATGGGTGGGCAGAGTGTGGTTCAATGTGGAGGTCTCTGAACCCTTTACCAGGGTAAAGGGTTTAGCTTTAATCTAGTAAACAGTCAGTGGAGGCTTTCTGCCAGCATGTGGTAGGAGAAAGGAAGCAATGAAATATATTTTTTTAGGAAGGTTAATCTGCTAGTTAGAATGAATTGGAGCAGGGAACGACTAAGAACAGAAAGAGTAGCACCTAGGTGGCTGTTAAAGTAATCAACAGATGAGAAATAAAGGCTTAGGCTAGAGTGGTAGCAGTGGAAATGGAAATGGATGGCTATATATATAAAGACATGATTAGGGCTGGAATATGAGAAATGGAAGGAGGTGACAGTTCAAAAACAACTTCCAGGTTTCAAGTCTAAAAGGATAAGGACCACACTGCATTTCATGTAGTATCTTTGTTCCCTCTCTTTTCTGCTCCAGCAGTACTGGATTTCTCTCATTCCTGACCAAGTTACAGCCTCTTTGTCTGCCTCAGGAACTTCTCTGTTCCCTGGTACAATCTCTTCCATTCTTCTCTAGCTAACATATACTTAGCTTCCTGCTCCAAGTATAAGCACATCACTTTTTCCAAGAAGCCGACCCTGAGCTCCAGCCTAGGTTAGATTCAGCCCTCTGTTAACTTGGTTAATTCCTTAACATATGAGTTTCCTGTACTACCATTTGCTCCTGCTTATATTTCTACTGCTTGACTTCACTGTTAGACTGTAAGGTCCCTGAGGGAAGGTGCCATGTCTGATCTTTCTTGGTGGTTGTATTTTCAGTACGAAAATAATGTCTGAACACATAGTAGTACTCAATAAATGGACAATTTATTGCCCAACTGACTTACTGACTGACTGAAGGAAACAGGAAAAGAAGTAAGTGCTGGTTTTGAAGTAAACATGGTGTGTTTGGTTTTGGACATGTTGAATATAAGATAATGAGATATTCTGGAAGACAGGCTCTATGAATGTCTGGGGTTATGGGATTAGAACTCTTATTCACAGATAATTATGCAATTGTATGCAAGTGACAGAAAGAAAGGAATGCTTATCTCGTATTTAACACTTTAAAGAGCAAATAATTTAATCCTTGATTGATCATATTTTAACTTAGAAAAGTAATTTGATAAGATGAAAATGTTTCATTTCTCAGAATAATTTTTCATGGTAATAATACGTTAGCATAGCTATGGCAATATTTTTGCAAAAAATGCACAAATCACTCTTATTTCTAGAAATAATCACTATGCTTTAAGATACTGGGCAGTTAGCAATTTTGTTGAATGTAACAAACTATTCCACACGTTATAGCTAAAACCTCTAAGGCACAAAAGAATAAAGGATTTCACAAAATATAATTGTATTATTACAGGACCAATCAGTTTAGAAAGGATTTTCTGTTTTTTAGCATACCTTTTAAGATACAAGACTGTGTGATGCAACGTTCTCACCACTATAGGTATATGAAAAGTTTGTATTCAATGATTAGCTAAAAGATCTCTGTGTGGGAATTCTGCTAAAGTATCAGTAGGTATGGAGAACCTAAAATTAACATGCAATCTTATTTTAATGAAAATTAAGCCGACATTTTCCATTCTTTTGGCTTATCCTGCTCGATCAGGAATTCCAAACTCACAATTTGTGCACCCAATATAGCCCCACAGATGTGTTTGGTTCAGCTGGACATTTTTACAAAATTTGTACTTAACTGTCTCTAAACAATGACTCTTCTCTCCAGTTCTGCTCTCTAGTTTGGCCACAGTCCTTACTATTCTCTATTGAAACGTGGCCTGCCTAGCTTCTACGTATAATCAGGACATGTAACAGTATAACATTTTAGCAAATAGAAGCATCAAGATTTCATTTTGTTGCAGTCACTTTTACACCCAGTCAGGGCAGCTTTCTGACTAGGTAGATGTCACAACTTCTTAGATTTAATTTTTAAAATGTATACCTGAGGTTTATTAGTACTTTAAGGTTTCGAAAGCAGGTCCCTGTATTTATCTCCCTTCTAATAAGAGTACAGGGTATGTATTTAACACTAAGTATGATGACACCCTGGAAAGTAAGCTTCACGTATGTTGGGGATGTGTATGAACTGTTCAAGCCCACTAAAATATCATTTATTCACCAAAGCAGTAATTAATTAAGTGGCGTGCTGCAGCAGCAACTGGCTAAAGATACAAACATGAGTACCTGCTGCCCACAGAGAGGACACACATCTAAGCTGTGACTGCACGGTTTGGAGTCTTAAACTCCAATTCTGTTCATTTACTACTCTGTGTACCAGGCTGTTCTCAGTGAACTAGAAATCCGACTGATTTACAAAGAGTGACCTTTATACCTGGGACTCTGCTTGGTTATCAAACCAGAAAGTAGGTCTATGAATAGATTGTATGGTAAAAAAAAAATCTCTTTGGTATTGTAAGAGTTCTAAGGGTTAAATTAAAATGTGTGGTGCAAAGTTGATTTGGCAAGCATATGAAGACACAACCCTACCTTAGGACTTCCCATAGAATGTAACCACATGGCTTATTTTGTACTGAGTGTTATTTTACCTCCTGTCTATGTAAGCTGGAGAGCGGTGAGAGACCTTGAACAGTAATGAGATTAATTGCTCTCTAAGACTCAGAATGCAAATCTTGTTACCTTATAGTCACACCAAAAGTTTTCTAATTATTTCTCTGTTTTTTTGGTCTGTTATAACATTTGAAGATTTCTAAAATTAGCTTTAAATAGCAATTTCAGACATCTCATTACTTTTCAGGAGCATTGAGAAATTTGGTTGGGGTCATATCATTGACTTCTGCATGAACGGTGAAGGACTCTTTCCTTTAGAAATGTTTCTGAGGAAAAGTTATTTCTGTTTTTCTTCTTTTGCTTGTGTTTCTTGAAAATTAGCACACTATGACTTTTTCCCACACTGCATTCAAGTAAAATCTAAGTGGGTCATGACTAATAAGGTTAAGCAAACTAAGATTTGCTTCCTGCTTATATTCATTGCAGATAGAATTGTCTCCATTTCAAAATTTGTCTATATAGCATCAACTTTTTGTGGTACAATTTTTGAGAATGGTTTCAGTTTTTAAAATATAATGATCTTGGCCACTAGAAAAGAATTAATTTAGTTTCCTCTGATTCAAACTGATTCACTTGCCTATACTATTATACTTCTCAACTTCACCTAGAGCCCAAAAGGCTGGTAGGCTGATGTTGAATCCCTAATTTTGATAAGCGTATATTTCAGAAAGAGATCAGAACACCATGAATCTTCTCTAATGAACTGCAGTTTTTATCTAAACAACTCCTAAAATTTAAACAAGTTTACTTCTCCAACTTCTTTTATAGCACCCAAATGCCTAATCTAATACATTCCATTTAGTAGCTGCTTAATAAATTTTTATTGAATTAACTAGTGTTAAAGTGAAGTAAATATGGCCTGAGAAGGTCTCCGTACTTCTATATTTGGGTCCTTGTGGACAAACTGCAACCTAGCCTAATAGGTAGACAAGATTGAAAATCTAACTTAGGTGTATGTGCCTGTAACAACAGCTGAGTCTTGGCCAATCCCAGCGGCTGTACTTCAACCATTTGAACACTGCTGGGTGTTCAAATAAGGCAAATGCTGAGCTGTAACCAATCCAGCCATTCTGTACCTCACTTCTCACTTCTGTACACCTTTCCTCTTTTTTTGTCTATAAATCTTCTTCCACCATGTGGCTGTGCTGGTGTCTCTGTGAATCTGCTGTATTTCTGGGGGCTGACCACTTCACAAATTGTTCACCGCTGAATTAAACTCCTTTAAATTTAATTCGGCTGAAGTTTTATCACTAGTATAAACTTCACATGCATTTACACAGATGCATTAATATGAACACTGAACTTGAAAACATTAATAGGCAAAATCTCTTTCTAGCTAACAAAAATGCTGAACTGTTATGTAATAACTACCAATTTTACCTGTATTTATTTTTTGAGAGAAATCTTATTTGCAATTTTAAGAACAATTCATGGTTTGTTAATGTAATTTATTTTTCAAAATAATAAAGTCAGTAATATAAAATTTCATTAAGCCTCTAAAGAATTGTTGGACAATGGTATGTAGTCTTGTTTGTCTTTATATGGAAGGGATTAGAATTAGTAGCAGAGAGAAATTAATCATGATCCAAGGACTTATATTCTTCCAGGCATTTGTAAACTCAATAAATGAAATCACTGAGTAAAGTCTATATGGCATGTTTTAAAGAGACTGCTATAACTATAAAATGGTCTATTATTCTCCATATACATTACCATTTCTTAGAAAGGATCTCCGTGACTGTCCACCATTTAGTGGAGGTAAGGTCTTCTTTTCCTGGCCGACAAATGTATCCCATTTCACCTTGTCACAGCCACCTAGTTCCTTCACTTTCTGTAAACAACTTTCCAAGTACTCTACTGGATCTTCAGGCTTAGAACACATCAGTCCATTCAAAAGGCTCTGAAATATAACAAAATATGTACAATAAAATATGTTTTGAACCCTTTGTTTTTTCTTTAAATGTAATTTTATTTATGCTTTCTTTTTTTTGAGACAGAGTCTCACTCTGCTGCCTAGGCTGGAGTGTGGTGGCAAGATCTTGGCTCACCTGCAACCTCTACCTCCTGGGTTCAAGTGATTCTCCTGCCTCAACCTCCCGAGTAGCTGGGTTTACAGGTGCACACCACTATGCCCAGCTACTTTTTGTATTTTTATTAGAGACAGGGTTTCACCATGTTGGCCAGGTTGGTTTCAAACTCCTGACCTTAAGTGATCCACCCGCTTTGTCCTCCCAAAGTGCTGGGATTACAGGCACGAGCCACCGCACTTGGCCCCACCCACCTTTGTTAAAATAGTGTTATGCCTCATCTTTGAATTCTGGTTGTTTTTGTTCTTGGCATTCTTTGAATAAACAATTAGAATTGTAATTGCAATCTGACCGAGTCACTAAGATAATCCCTTAAATTCTTGCCTAATTAGTTTTCGGTTCAGTATTCTCTGCCTCTTAAACAATTCAGGCAATTACATAGTTTAAAACGGAAGAGCCATTCACTTCATCACAATGAGATGAAATGCAGCATGTGAAAATGTCCCTGGTCATTATTTACCTCATTCCTACCCACCCTTTAAGTCTCTAAGCCTCAGTTTCTACTTTTATAAAATTGGGGTGATTATAAAGACATCATAGAGTTGTTTCGGAATTAAATAATTTCATATTTGTACAGTGCATATTAAGTTCCTGGCACACAGTAAGTGCCCAAAAACTTGGTTGTTGGTTTTAATTATTATTACTATCAAAACATCTTCCCTGAATCCCTAGGTTGGTCTGTGAACCCCTTCTTCTGTGTTCCCATGGTATCTAGAATAAAATAGCATACTTGTTATTTATAATGAAACCACTGGGTTATGCATTGGTCTCTCTTCTGAACTATAAACTCTTCAACAACACAGAGTGAGTCTCATTCATTTTTCAATCCCCAGATACTGATGCTTTCCCCGGCATTTGGTAGGTACATATTTCACTGTTTTACAACTGGAAAAAACAGAAATCCCTCGAAGCTCAAGTCTAAGTGAGACTCGAAAAACTTGAGGTCTCACACTCAAAAAAATTACTATTTGACATGGAGTAAGTCACTCCAGTATCCCATTGAGATTCCAGAGGGGAAAGAAAGAAAAAAAAAAAAAACCAGGATCCTGCTATTACTTTTTTGGTTCATGGTGTCTGATGTGTCAGTGGTACTAGTTTCTAAAAATGCTACCAGTTTAGAAATGCTGATTCCTGGAAGCTGGACTTATATGCAAAATATTTTCCTTTAGAATATTTCATGGAAAAAGCATAAAGGATTATTCTTACGAATATACATTGTTAGTATACAAAACACCCTTCTAAGGGTTCACATTTGTTTAAATACAGTATTTTTTTTCAATTATTTTCTGTGTCATTTGCTCAGAATGGTAGGCAAGTTTCACTAGGTAAATTTGTTTTCTGAAATCCTAAATAGAGTAGGCTAGAGTGTGCATCTCCGTCAGCCAAGTTCATTTGCAGAGGGAGCAGAAAAAACTACCTGGGCATCCAATCCAGTTTATGTGTCAAAATCTGTCCTATATACACACACATTGCAGTTGAGCTTCTCACATTCCTCCCATAAGCCAACTCAGTATTAGCCTTATTAATATATAAAACCCTCTGTGCCATTTATTTATTTGTATATCCAGTGCATTCTCAGCCCTGTGTGACTTTATTATCCCCATTTTATAGATTAAGAAATCATGGCTCAGAGATGTTAGTGACTAACTCAAGTTTACTCAACTAGAAATTCCTAGGCCCAGGATTTCAACTCAATGATTCTGATTCCAAAACCCGTATGCTCTTCTCTGTACCTGTTGCAAAAACATGGTATGAGGAAAAAAGAAAATACAAGATTCTCTGCGCCCTCTGCAAAATGCCCACTTTTTATCCCTACTATTACCTGAAATGGGTGAACACACTCAATGACTCTTTTCTGAAAATATACATTTCCAGCATCCTTAAACAAAACTGGTTCTCCAAAGGGCATTGATTTTAAAATGTGACAGTGAGTTCCACTCCTTCATGGATAATTCAGATCTTTTCTTCTCATAGCCAGCCACTATCAGGGACTGAAGACAAGCAGCACACATTATTGCTCAGTCTCCAAGTTAACCCTCTGAGACCCTGAGTAATCTAATTTGACTTTCCACAGTATTAAAATTGCCAAATCTCTGCTGTAAGGTACAAGATCATTATACACACCATAAGGTTAGCCAGAATTAAGAACTCATGATAAAAGAAGAAGAAAGTGGGTTTTAAAAAAATCTAAAAATGGAAACACATTTCAAACATGAACCTACCAGAGATATCCCATATTCTATTTACCCTACATGATATCTCAAATTAGGAAGAAATCTGAAAAGGTCAGTTAGATATCTTTACTTGTCTGACAATATGTCGATACAATATTCAGTCAGTTTGTCTATAATAGTGTCTAATATCCACAGCTGGGGCCAATGTCTTAGTGTTTAGTAGATAGCTAATTTTTCAACTTTGTACACCTAGAACATTGTGGTGGGGAAAATCCAACTTAAAAACCTAAAGTATTTAGTTTTGCAGTCTACACTCATCACATGGAGAACTGCCAGATTTTCCTTTCCTCTTGAGCTGAGCATACATAGCACAGGTTCGTCTTTGGAGGTCACCAGCAGTCTACTTCCATCTTCTCATTGTTCTGAAGTGAATTGAAGTCTACTGTATTACTGTATTTCACCTAAGTTGACTACCTTTTCTGGGTGTGCATTATTTATCCCATTCATATGCAGACAAGTAAAAAACATAAAACCTGAACAAAAACTCCTGCCATCACTTATTTGCATACATAGTGTAGATTTTAATAAACTATGAAAATTCTCTGTGGTTACCTTCCACCAAGGAGGAAAAACTGTACCCACATTTATAAAGAAAAACGATGTACTATTTAGGGATTTTTGCAGTCAGGTGGTTCTTCTACAGATGTTTCTAATGATTCTTTTAGACACTTAGAAATGAAATTTCTCTAAGTAGTAATCTTTGTGAGAAAAACCTTCATCTTTTTTCCATATTTACTTTTTGAAAATTAAAAAAAAAAAAGAAGAACGACTCTTTGATTCCCACACATTCTCAAGACTGGTCCTTATCCAACACCACCTGATTATTTTCACGCAGGAGGAACACATTTGCTAGATTTGGGCTTCACATACCACGCTTGAGCTCAGTGAGTGGTTTACCTGGAAATCTTGACTTCAGATGACCTGAAAAAGGTGGCTTATAGAAGTGAGAGGAAATGAAGATTTGTAATTATGGCAACCCATTTTAAAGACAGTTTGGGGAAACTGAGGCAACATTTCCCAAGTGGTGTTTTAAAATTCTTTTTAACAGAACAAATCCACAACAACAAAACCCCTCATGACCTTTAGTTTACGATATCAGGCTATCAGTTTTCAGAAATGGGGGGCGAGGTTTGTAATGAAAGGATTTCCCCTTTCAGAGCTCACCTAGGAAGCTTGGCTTGCTTCTATTCTTTTCTCTTCCTCCCCCCACTTCAAGCAAAAGCACTTGAGATTCAGGAATGTTTTTAAATTCAAATATGAAGAGAAGGAAAGGAAGCCTAACAACCTGAGACAGGGGCTGTGACTTAGAACCAACCAACGCTCATTCCTCAAGCCTCCTTTCTGTCTCCAGGTGTTTCCCCCATCCCCGGGTCCAGGTGCCAATGATGCCGTGATGCGGTCTGGAGACTGAGCAACAGGAGTCACGCCCGCCTCGTGGCTCCCTCCCCGACCCGCTATCTCCAAGTGGGTTGTGAAGCTCTAGCGAAAGCTGCGGCCCAACCCTTCCTAGGCAACGGAAAAACGTGCTCAGGAGTTCATTCAGCGAAAGCGCAGAGCAACGCTGGAGGCCTGTCACCGGGGAGGTAGCACTTGCTAGGTTGGGTTTTGCTATCTGTATCTTCATCCCTCTCTTCCAGGCTGCCTCCGGGGAGGGCTGCCTTCGTCCACATTTCCTCTTGACCGCAGGGGTCCCGACCCTCGACTAGTAGAGTGACTAGGGCTCTGGCTCCCTCAGTTTCGAGTCTTTACTCGCTGCTGGGCGACAGTGCACCCACCTGGCCTGGCCCTCTCCACAGAGCGTGGCCTGGCCGCTGTCTGCAGCCCACCCTGGCTGTCCACATCCGAGGGGCGCGATGGGGGCAGGCTGCTTTCAGAACTCGGCTCCAAGACTGAAACTTGATTTGTGAGATGCAGGCTTCTAAGCCCAGCCATCTGACAAGGACCCTGGCAACCCGCGGGAAAGGCGACTACCCTCGGGCGAGCGGACGAGTGCGCTTCTGCAAGCCTCTTCAATTACATGCCCCGCGTGGGGAAGGTGGGACGGGGTGCGGCTGCCTCACCCCGAACCCCGGAGATGCAGTCCCCGGATGCTCCCGCCCGTCGGCCGGCCCTGGCCCCTACCTCAAAAAGCTGAGGGATTTCCCTCCGGGCCAGATACTCCTTGGCATCGTTGGTGTTCATGGCTGTGCCGCGCGTGCCTTGGGGCGCAAGCGGGGAGGATTCCGGGCTGCGGCGACCTGAGCCGGGGCTGGCGCTGGGGCTGGCAGAGTCCGCGCTGAGCAGCTGTGCAGCCTTCTTTCTCGCGCGCACTCAGCTCTGCCTCTCCGCCCAGGCCAGGGACCCTCTCCGCCTCTCCCTGGGGGCTGTGGTCTCCGCGCTCCCGCCGCCCCCGCTTCGGTGCCAGTCCCAGCGGCGGAGCTGCGGGCTCAGAGCAGCTGTGCCGCGGCTTCCCGGGATGCCAGGCAGCGCGGCCGCCAGGGGTGGGGCGCAGGGAGCGGAGGAGGGAGGACAGCGTGGCGGACGCAAGACGGCAGTCCGCCCGCCTCTCCGGTTCAGCGCGCCGCGCTCCGCGCCTCCCCGAGCCGGGTCTGCGGCGGCTGCCGGTCACGCTGCGCTGGCGGGCGCGAGGTGCGGGGGTGGGGGCGCGCGCGCGCAGGGGTCGCAGTCAAACCCCTCGGTGCCGCACCGGCGCCGGAGCGCGACGCTTCCCTGCGTGCGCCGCCCAGGGATGCAGCGACTGGGACCAGGTGGCCAAGAAAACAGGGTCGGGGTCTCTAGGAACCTGCGGCCATTTAGCTTCTCCGGACCTTGTACACACACACATACACACACACATTTACCTCCGGCGCCCCGAGGAGCTCCCAGGAAAACCTAATAGTCACAGGATTTATCATTTATTCCTAAGATTACCTATCTTTCACTCTAGGGAGCTGTGGGGAAGGGCGAAAAGGGGATTCATGGTGTGGAATCCACCCCTTAAGATAATTTTTAGGTCTTGAGAATCTCTATCCTTCAGGAAAGTTTTGCTAGCTGGTTTCGATTTTTTTCCCTGTCCGTGTCACAAATCTTTATAGACTTTAGGAGAAGGCCTTAGTGTGAGACTGAAATCCTAATCAACTGAAGGACTAATAAGTAGTTAACCAGTTAATTATCTCCATGGAGAGGAAGGGACAGTGGAGGAGAAAGGTGGGTGGTGGTGGAGAGCTAGAGATGCTTAAATTGCAAATGTGTTTAGTAGGTGGGGAGGCGGGGCATCATTAATTAAATCTGAGGAGCGTGCAGTCCGTGGAGAGAGACGCATGGGAGCACCCCTGGGGGAATATGAGCGAGTATGGGTGGGTGCGCTAAGGGATAATGGGTAATGGATCTTCCTGCTGCAGACCATAGTCAAGGTGTACCCATATTCCTCCTAGCTCCTAAAATGACTCATTTCCCTACTAAGATGTCTTCTCCTGCTTGTTTGGGAGATAGTCCATGCCCCTGGAGAACATGATCTCTAAACTCCCACAAAGCCTAACACTGTAGGAGGGTGTGTGAGAGAGGACACACACCTACCAGTTTGGTAGGCACTGGTATCTGGGGTCTGGCTGGAGAGAGAAGCAACTCTGTCAGTGCTTTAAAAAGCTAGAGTCTGAATGTCCATTTCAAGTTCATCTTTGCAGATTTTTTCTTGGTTCTATTTCTTGTTCCAGAAGCAACTGCAGCTCAAGCCTTAACTATAGCTGCATCTTTGTTTCACCCAAGGGAGTTAGTGAAGTTTTGAGAACATTTGTGAACCTATTATGTCATACAGTAGCCTTAAACGAGGCAGGTATTTGAGATCCATGGAAATTGGGTTTTGCCTGTAGAATATACCACTTTACTTACAGTCCCAACTTCCAATATTTCTTTTTTTAGTATTGGCTACGGCAGTAGTGAAAGCAGTGTCTCTTTTCTATGCAATGATGCATAGAACGATGCTTGAAAAGTACTGCGGTCTGTGGCATTAAGGCTTACTTTGTGAGCAGGCACAGTGAAGGGGAAACAGGAATGAAGAGGCCACTTTCTGCAGGACTTTTCAAGGTCATCCTTTACAGACAAGAATCTGGCAGAGCACGGCTCACCTGTCTCCCCTTGACGAAATGCATAATTCTAAGTGTACTTTAGTGTTACTGAGCAAGTGATGGCAACTTGCTTGTAAAAAGAGAATGGATAAGAAAGACTGCATTGCACTAAAAATTGTAGATAGCCTGAAAAATGTAGTAAACAGTGATATGGCAAGTTTTCAAGTAGCCTTATGCAGCGACAATCAGTGTATTTTGGTGTGTGCCAGGGTGGAGAGAGAGATGTGAAAGAGGTAAGATGTTCATAATTACTTTTGCAAAGAAAGTTGTGGCCTTGTAGGGAGGGGCTATTTGAGAGAGGCATGATGCTTAAAAGCCAAGCTGATGGTTTGAAAAAGAGGAAAGAGAAAGGAGAAAGAACACTAAATACATTCTTGCTGTGGGAAAGCTGGCCTATCATTCCCTGTGATGAGATTCTATGTGTGGGTATATAGATTCCCTTTGTTTATTTGGGAATGCTTTCCTGGAAGTTCTAATGAATCAAAATGATTACTGTAAGCCAGATGTCTCTGGATAGACACTCTTCTCATCATGCTTTAGAGAGGGTACTAGGTTCTGAGATACAGCATTGAATAACAGACATGATCCTTGCTGTCAAGGAACTTAAATTCTATGAAGAGTGTGTATAAGAAGTACAGACAGACAATAAGCAAATAAAAATGCACAGACAACATCACATAGTGATAAACAAAGTGATAAAAAAGTGAGGTCAAGAGATCGAGACCATCCTGGCCAACATGGTGAAACCCCGTCTCTACTAAAAATAGAAAAATTAGCTGGGTGTGGTGGTGCGCGCCTGTAGTCCCAGCTACTCAGGAGACTGAGGCAGGAGAATTGCTTGAACCTGGGAGGCAGAGATTGCAGTGAGCCAAGATTCCACCACTGCACTCCAGCCTGGCACCTGGTAACAGAGCGAGACTGTGTCTCAAAAAAAAAAAAAAAAAGGACATAAACAAGAACATATCAGTTAGTGATAACTGATGAAAATCAGAGTTCTTGATTTGAAGCAAGGGGCAGAGGGTCTAGGTCTGTTCTGTGAAAGCAGCAGAGGAAATGGGAGTAAGAATAACCATTGGGATGATGACTAGGACTTCCAAAGGGCTGGGCATCCTTCAGGCTCTTGGTGGGAATGTTTCCCTGACTCATCATAGGTACACATGAATGGAAGAAAATATCTATAGTTGTATCTATAGAATACTTCTTAGGTCTCAGCCAAAGAAATTTAGAAAGGTGTCCTAGCAGGAAAAAGTAAACTTTCTATTTTAAAAAACAAATATGTTGAAGTCTTTAAAAATTACACCATGATGGCTTAAAAGAGTAAATGCCATATATAGGGATTCCTGATTTAACATGTAGGAGTGTGTTTAGGTGCTGAGAAAATCTAGCTCAAGCAATGTCTTCGTAATGTCTAGAAATATAATGGTGTATAAATACATGATTAAGCTACACTAGTCACAGTGAAAGTAATGTTTTATGATCATTCCGTCAACAGATATTTCTTGTACATCTCCTGTGTGCCAGGTATTGCTGGCACTGCTGTGCTGTCAGGCATGTAGGTGAATAAAACACATGGATGGAGCATTTATCGAGGAGCAGGAGGTTATATGCAACAGATATAATACACAAGTATATAAAATTATTAGACGGTGATAAATACCATGGGAAAAGAAAAAGTAGAGGGGCATAAGGAGAGCCAGAAGGCTGGCTTCGGTTTTATATAGAGTGGTCAGGGAAGGCCTCATTGAGAAGGTGACACTCCAGCAAGGTTTGAGAAGACTAGAGAGCAACCAGTTCAAATGTCCTAGGGATGGCAGATTGCTGCCACTTTCTGGCAACAGCAACGAGGCTAGTGTGGCAGGAACAGGGTGAAGAAGGGGAAGAACAGAGAGGAATGGGGCCAAAGCACTTGGGACATTGTAAACCATTGTCAGTTTTTGCACTTTTACCCTGAATTAAACCAGAAGTTAGAGATGTGTTTCAAGCTAAGACTAAGAGGATCTGACTTACATTTTAAAAGGTTTGTCTGTCTGCTGGTTTAGGTATAGGTAAGAGAAAAAAGGCAGGAGTGGAGAGAATAGTTGGAAGGCTATCGTGACTCAGGTGCAAGATGAGATGACGAAGGCATGGGCTCAAATGTTACCAGCAGAGACAGTGAAAACTGGTTAGATTGTAGATACATTTTGAAGATAGAACAAATAGGGTTGCTTGACAGATTATAGTATATGAGAGAAAAAGAAAATCTCAAATATGACTTCATGGTTTTTGGCCTGAGGATAGTATGCAGACAATTAATTGGCCTCAAGAAGCTTACTAACTTACAAAGTCATTTAATAGATAGATGGTAAGGAACTCTATGCAACCCAGAGAAGCGACAGGACAACTGGCTCTGAAGGGAATCTGACAGACGGTAGGTTCTCCCTGCTGCTTACTGACCACATTTCCTCATTTTCATCTGCAGTCCTTGGCCTATAGCAGCCATTTGAGCTCCCAAGGTAACCTACATGTTAGGTTGACTCACGTGTTGCACAACCTCCTGTGTAAGTAGAAGAGAGGAATTTACACTTGCTTCAGGATATGCTTGCAACTTAAATGTTTTAGAATTTCAGTGTCCATTCTGCAGGAATATTTTACCTACCCATGCGAAATCTGTCATTCCATCAGATCTAGTCTTTATCCATCAACCAGTTAACCTAACTTGGCTATGATGGCTACAAATAAGGGAGCAACTTGAACTCCAAGGAACCTTTAAATTTCAAAGCTGCAAGTAAAATACAGAGAGGAGCATTATTGTTTTAATTTAAATAAATATTCTAATGTATGCTTAGAAGTAAAAGCTTTTGGGGGTCCTAGAGAAAAGCGAAAACATCAATTTACCCTTTAAAATTTATTTTCACAGAATGCAGATAACACATTTGAGTTTTTATTATGTTATTCTTTTTATACTTATTGACAAGCAGCAATTCTGTGAGCCTAGAGGTCTAAAATTTCTAAGTCATACATACGTATCAGGACCAGTATGCCCCTGACTTGTTTACATTGCTTATTTTTGTCTTTACTATATGTCTCATGAACAATGTGTTAGTGATGCATACACTAATCAGCCTAGGATGAGTAAGATAAAATCTTTCCATCCAAGAATAAAATGTGTTTTTTTCTCAGTAGTCACAAGGCATTCATGTTGGTGTGCTAGAAAATTTTAAAAGTTACCAGAATTTACCATCTGTTCCTGTTTTTATCTAGTCTGTTTTACCACATTTCTTCTATTAATTGTCCTTCTGCAATACAATTAACATTCACACCGTTTTTCTAATTAGATGAACTCATAAAACTAAAGATCTAGTGGAGATATGAGTAGTAATTAGTTTAAAGAGGTCTCCTCCCCAAATAAATAAACATTTTAGATTGTACAAAGGAAAACTAATACTAAAACATTTTCTCAAGAATGCCCCTCTCGTGCAAAAATGTGAGTGGCTACCATTTTTTTGCACTGTCCATTATGGAACTCACTAGCCTCATATGGCTATTTACACTTAAATATTAGATTGGTGCAAAAGTCATTGCAGTTTTTGCCATTTTAAAATTACTTTTCATGGCAAAAACTGCAATGACTTTTGCACCAACCTGATA